TCTAATTAACAATTAGTGTGTAACCCGTCAAAATTATGACGATATTTTTCTGAAAGGATTTAGGCAAGCATCCTTAGATCAGTATGCAATATAAAATCATTCCTCAGTATTATGATATATTGAATTAACATAAATTGGCAAATGCAAACTTTACTTCTTGATATTGTTCCATTGCAAGATGCGCATACAGCTGAAAATATAACTGATACAATTTGCAGTATACTCAGTGACTTTGTAATTAGTAATTGACTTTTGAGTATTATCATTGACAATGGAGCAAATATGATTAAAATGAGTTCCTTATTGCATAATAAGGTTGAACAACAATTTGAAAATCTGAATGTTATTCACTTATGTTGTGTCACACATATTCTGAATCTAGGTGTACATGTAGGGTTACAAAAGATAGCATCAGAAGTCAAAAAAGCGCGTGCTTTTTCTAGCAAACTGCACAATTCGTCATTACTTTTGGATGACATGAAAAAAATTGTAAGATCATTAGAAGAGAACTTCAAAATGCCAGAAATAGATGTGCCTACTCATTGGAATTCAATATATCTTATGCTTCAACGATTCGAGAAAATCAAGACAATGACAGATGTTCTTGTTGCAAGACATCCAAATCTTCAAGATAATTATTTGACATATGCTGAGCACGATATATTAAAAGTAAGTAATATCTATCACTTCACTTTTGAATTCCATTTTATATTGCAATAGTCAATTTGGGGATAGTGTTGATTAATTGTATTACTTTGGTAATACTAATTAGAAATGAAAGATTTACATTAACTTATCATCACGTTAAATATCAAAATCTGAAATCAATTAAATATTTATATATTCTAGGATACAATTGAAATTCTTCAACCAATAAATGATGCAACTGAGCTATTATCTGGCTCATCTTATCTGACAATTGGTGATGTGCACATTGTAATGATGAGTTTGCTTGCACATCTTGATATAAATAGCGTCAAAAATGTCAATAGTCAAGTTGAAGTAGCGAGCGCAATAAAAGCAAAACTTGAAGTCTACTGACCTTTAATTCATCAATCATCCATAATCACAACCCTTCTCGATCCGCGTACCAAATTTTCAGCATTCTCTCAAGATGATCAGCCACATGCAAAATTCACTCTATAGAAAATATATGATGAATACAATCCAGATAATATACAAACAGCACTACCCAGACTAACCTTATATTTCAAGCTCTCATTCAAAGTACATCATCGAATAATCAATATAATACTCACGAAATTGAACAGTATTTCCAACTTTCACTTGAAGTGGATCATATTAATCCTCTTGAATGGTAGAAACTTCATTCTGATAATTATTCAACACTTTCATGTCTGATCCAGGATTATCTTGCAATTTCAATGTCTAGTGTTCCCTCCGAATCAACTTTCAGTATAGCAAAACACACAATCAGTACAGTCTGAAACAGAATTGAAGACGAAACAGCTCATGCTTCACTTTGTCTTAAGAGTTGGATTACAAATGAATCATTTTTTAATACGTGAGTATGAAAGTAGCGGTGATGGTTGGAGTTATAATATTGCTGGTTCTGATAATGATAAAAATATATGTAAGTATTGTGGTCGCTGAGGGTCTGATTACTGTAGTGATTATAATATTTTTTGTGGTAGTGATGAGGATTTATATAGTCACAAATCTAATTATTGTAATAGTTGCAGCTTTTTTAATGGTGTTGGTGATAAGGATATTTATGATTATTATAATACTTATAAATCTAATTATTATGATAGTAGTAATAGTAATAGTGAGCATAATGGAGTAAAGATATAATGAGTAAAATTATTATAATAATAAAGCTAATATTTATTTTTACAAAAATCATTTTTCATCGCTACATATTGGTTGATAGATAGTGCTGCTGATTCAAACTATACCAATGCCTTATCATTCATTAGACTTTATTAACACTCAACCAGGATTTGTGATCTGATTCTGGACTCCTCGCTTTATTTAAAAGCATTACCACAGACCTCTCAACATCGATACAAGGACAAGCACTTATGTTTAACTACGACGTTCACTCACACTCAGTCTGGTACAGTAATATTATAAACTATATAGAATCTTAATAATCAGGATAATTTTAATGGTTATCAATGCTGAACCTTTATTTTATGTTAAGCGTTATAAGAAGATTCTTATGAGGTAATAATAATTATATTTTATAGCACATAAGAATCTCTCGCCGTGAAGAAAATATGGATGACAAAAAAGTTAAGTATTATGATTTAGGGGGCATCCACAAATAACGTTATGTTAGAGATCCTGTAAAAAAAAATAAAAGACAAAAATCAGGAAAAAATCCAGTTTTTTAGTTCCGGAAAATCACGGATTTTGTTAACAAATTTCCGG